TAATCCCTGACCATTGGCCTTGTCGACTGGGGCTGATGGAAGTTGGAGTCCAACAACTCCTGGAGGGCATCAGATTGTAGAAGGCTGGCCTAGAGGAAGAACTGGAAATGTTAACACAAAATGATAGGAGCAGTGGAGCTTGATCCAACCTCATATTCAGTTTTGCTTACTGAAATTGCTCCACCTAACCAATAAATGAATATGAGCCCTATCCTGAATTGAATATAGGAAGATACAGCCTTTATATCACTGTTGCTTCTCTCTGGGAGAGTGGATAACCTAATCTAATAAGATTGGCTCCTGAGACATCATTTTATCCAGGTGAAAAGTGCTCAGGATCGTTGGTGACTGGTTCAATGCCCTTTAAAAAATTGACCCAAGCAGTTTTGCAGATAATTACAATGAATATTACCAGCCCACAATGAATTGTACAAAGCTGTTCACCTGCACATGCTTTCCTTGTGGGTGTGTATTCAATTTGCCCAGAAGAATCTGTTCCTTCCTTTGCAAGGAGGCAATAAACAATCAATCGGCATCAATCCATTTATATGCTGACCTCTGTCTGGTTTTGAACATTTTGCTGCTCAAACACATTTGCTGTACTAGAGCAAAAACTAAGGATCTCCTTAGAGTTTTAAGTGGGATTTGGTGCAATGATAATTGTTTGCCCTCAGGGCAAATTCTGCCATCTTATGTATGTGTTAAAAAAAAAGGAAAGAAAATGATTTATGCAACATGGTCTATTCCTGGAATTCTCTGCATTATAATTAAAAACATTAATGCTATGTTTCTCTAGGATATTAATCTCTTAGAGAAGGCAGGACTGCAGATATTAAAAAATAGAAGTGGGTAAATTGTCCCTGTTAAGACATGCCTTTTTATTGCACATTCATGATGATTTGTGCTCATGGTGCTCTCAGTGCAGTTATACACAATCCCACTTTCAATACTCTTTGCAAAAGTTTGGGGGGCGGTCATATTGCATCATTTCCAACCAGTGCATACTGTAGAAGGTCCTGCTGAGGACTTGTAATGTTTCATACTGCAAACATTCTGCGGGTTTATCTTTAGCATTGGAGAAGCCTTGTAGAAGAATGAAGAAAGCAGAATAAACCCACCACGGATGCACTGTGTCATGAATACATTGCAGAATACACCTGCAATGAAACCACAGTCTGGGTGGGTGGCGGGTGGCGAATACCAATAGCTGAGGAGCAACAGCAGGAAAAGGCAATTGCCCTCACATCCTGCTTGTCGGCTTCTCAGGTGTACCTCATCTACCACCATTGGAAGTGAAATGCTGGATTAGATGGGCCTTTGGTCTGATCTAGCAGGGGTCTTTTGAAGCTCCTCTTTGGACATTAGCATGTGGGTATGCAAGTCACGTTTGAATCCACCCTTTCGAGCCGACAAGGCTGTGTTTACCTTTGTTGAAGAGAGAGGCCAAGAGGAGCTCACAGCAGGTTGCTTCAATTGCTTTCTGCCTAAGAAAAGTGCAGTTCTAATCTAAAACCATCACATCAGCCCAGCAGAGGTGGGAGAACCTTTCCTTTGTAGATCAGCTAGAAACAGTTCCTTGGGTAAAATAGAAGAAATAAAACACATACGATCCAGCTGCCATTTCATCAATTGCAGGGAGAGGTTGGGGGGGGGGGAGAGAAAGAACAACTTAATTAGACACTGCAGATTACATATTAATTACAGGCTCGGCTAGATCACGGTGGCATTAGAAGCCTTGGCACATTCCTGACATGGCAGGTCTCCCCTGCACTCTTCAGGGGATGCTGCCCCCTTGTATCCTTCGGTGGCAGTGTGTGTGGGAGTCATGAGAACAGTCTACCAAGGAACAGGCAGGTGTCCAAGATTTCCGCGGAAGAAAGGAAAATTATTTTCTTCACATTTTCTCCCCTTTTGCGTACGTCTCACCAGCCAGGAAGAACAACTTCTCCCTTTTAAAGGGAGAGTACCACTCCAATGTCAGACTGAAAGAAGAAACAGTCCTCTGCTATTCCATCAAAATGTAACAGGATTTCATGACAGGGATCTTAAAATACGACCACACTGACGTCTATTAAAGACATGAGCGCTCAGTATAGCTCTTCATACATCGAATCATAGAACTGTAGAGTTGGAAGGGACCTAAAGGCCAATGCAGGAATCCCAGCTGAAGGCAGGGGCAAAATTGTGAGTTTGGAATGAAGGCTCGACAACAGGTAATGGTAGAAAAACTGTCTATATTGAAATGCAGCCAGGGAAAAGATGTCTGCTTGTAGCTAACGGACAAACAGGCCTAAGTAAACTCCATCACCCAAGCTGGCCTGTTGGGGGCCAAATAGCCATCTTCTCATAAATGGAAGTCATGGGTATGTTACCTGGCAGGTGACAGCTGCCCCCACTGTTCAGCAATCAGTGGGTAGCAACTACCAGGCTCCAAGAGCACTAAACCAAGAATCCCCCTAAGCTGGCTGATAATAGGAGGTGGTTAGTGAAGTGCCCTCTGCCCAATGTACCACAGAGTGCCCACCACATGCTACTCCACCTGTAGGGATGGCATTGCAGGGTGAGGGCACACCCTCCCCCGCAGCATAAGACAAGCCACAGCTGTCTAGCCGCCATGCCCACTCCTTGACCTTTTGTCTCCTCAGCAGTGTTCTGTGCCCTGACCTTTACCTCCTTTGCAAAGGTATTGCTCATTTCCCCCTGTAATGGGAACATGACGCGGTGGAGCAAGTTGCGTAGATAACTTGGCAACACCCAGGGGGCTTGGGATTGGAGAAGTACAAAGGGCAAAGCCCTGAATGTATCTTGCTGGTTTTGCATATCTTGCTAATAAAAAGAGCCTCTGCTAAGCTAGCAATCAGCTTGCTCCTGCACAGCTCACTTGCATCCCAACTCCCGTGTCGGTTCCATTATTTCTACACCACTTACTTGCCAAATCAGCCAAACAACCCAATGCCAACTGAATTAAGACCAGTGTGAAGTAGACAAAAGACCGACTGAAAGGCCATTCAAGATATACCGTATTTTTCGCCCCATAGGACGCACTTTTTCCCCTCCAAAAATGAAGGGGAAATGTGTGTGCGTCCTATGGGGCGAATGCAGACTTTTGCTGAAGCCTGGAGAGCGAGAGGCATCGATGTGCACCGACCCCTCTCGCTCTCCAGGCTTCAGGAAGCTATCCGCAAGCCTTGCAAGCCCGGCGGGAGTTCCCGCGGGCTCACAAGGCTTGCGGGCAGCAGCCTGCTGCCCGAAGCACGGGAAGCCCTCCGGAGGGCGCCCCATGCTTCGGGCAGGTGTGTGCAAGGCTTGGGACGACAGCCACGGCTGGGGGGAGAAATAATTTTTTTTTATTCATTCCCCCCCCCCAAAAACGAGGTGCGTCCTATGGGCCGGTGTGCCCTATAGGACGAAAAATACGGTACATAACCAAGAAACTCCTAGTCAGCCCCATAAGATGATTGGTTCATCTATTTCTTTTTTATGTTTTCACCTGCTCCCTGCTCATTTTTATTTTATTTATTTATTAAATTTGTGTACCGTCCTTCAGCCGAAGATCATAGAGAGGTTCACAACATAAAAATGCAAAATGCAAGCACAAAATACATAATAAAACAAAACAAAAGCACAACAAATCAATAATCCCGCCCTCCCACAGACACATTTAAAGGACAATAGAATGTTAATCAGCCCAAGACCTGGTTGAAAAGAAGCGCTTTTGCCTGGCACCTAATGATATACAATGAAGGCATCAGGCGAGCCTCCCTGGGGAGAGCGACCATAGAAAAGGCCCGTTTTTGTGTTGCCACCCTCTCATGGAGGGGAGAACATGAAGAAGGGCCTCAGATGATGATTGCAGGGTCTGGGTTGGTTTATATGGGGAGAGGTGGGCCTTGAGGTATTGTGGTCCTGAGCAGTTTACGGCTTTTAGGTAAAATCCAGCACTTTGAATTGGGCTCAATCCTGCTGTTTTGCCAGGATTGGTGTGATATGCTCAAACCGTCTTGTCCCGATGAACATGCTGGCTTCTAAAGTCTGCACCAGCTGGAGTTTCTGAACTGTCTTTAGAGGCGGCCCTATGTATAGCACACTGCAATAATCTAGCCTAAAGGTTACCAGAGCATAGACAACAGAGGTTAGACTATCCCTGTCCAGATAGGGGTGCAGCTGGGCCAACAGCTGAAGCTGATGGAAGACATTTTGTGCCACCAAGGCCACCTGAGCCTCAAAAGACAGCAAAGGACCCAGAAGTATCCCCAAGCTATGTACCTGTTTCTAAGCACAACTCCATTGAGAGCAAGCAACTTAACATCAGACTGGACTTCATTGTATGGCATTAGCATTTCCTACTTCCCATTTTGCTCCAGTATTTGCAGTCTCAGCTTGGCGTTGTTAAATTGTAAGAAAATTGACACCCACAATCCCTCAGTTAAACACCACCTGTCTTCAAAGGGAAGATGATCAGTTGTCAAACATAGAATGAGCTTCCCTATGTGAAGATATGGCTTGTTTGAGCTTTTCCAAGTGGAACTAATTGCCTCACCCATTAACATGCTCCCATTAAAGATAGAATTTACAGTGGAACACAGGAAAATAATTAGCCTCTCCAGTCTTGTCCTTAAGAATGGAGGGATCATAACAGGGTGGGGAAGAACAGGGCTACCTAAACTCAACCCCCCCCCCTGTGGAGTATCCTTAGGGAACTCAAGAATCATGCTGCAGCTTAGAGGGTTGCTCCTTTGAGTGACAACAAGACTCAAAAGAAAAATAGGATGGAACTCTTTCTCTGAGCTCAACAATGGTAAAGAAATAAAGAAGTATGGGGGAGCATGAACAGGCTATTTCTAGTAATTCCTACAGAGACCCTCCTAGGGAGGGAGTTGTCCTAGGAACAATTAACATACATTCTGAGACTGGGAGGATTAAGGGCTCATCCATACTGTTGTTCAATGCGGCCATTGATTCTTTGTTGTTCAGAGGATGTTTTTCTCCAAATCACTGCCTTCCCACACTTCCCCTCTCCCTCAGTCTGGATTTTCTCATGCCCTCTCTTTTTCAAAGTATCCCTAGTATGAGAAAATCCAGACTGAGGGAGGGGAAAATGTGGGAAGGCAGCGATTTAAAGGAGAATGAATTATTATTAGCCACCCATCTGACTGGGTTGCCCCAGCCACTCTGGGCTGCTCCCAGCAAAATATTAGAAACTACTGAGAAGGCCCTCTGCCTGGTTCCTTGTAACTTCACTTGCACTGAGGGAACTGCCAGAACGCCTTCTCGGTATTGGCACCTGCAGCTGCTCCCGGTCACCAGTCTAGCCGCATTCTGGATTAGTTGTAGTTTCTGAATCACCTTCAAAGGTAGCCCCATATAGAGCAAATAGCAGTAGTCCAAGCAGGAGATAACTAAAGCATGTATCACTCTGGCGAAGCAGTGTTCAGGACAATGGAAAATTAATGGCAGTACAGGAAGCATACTATCTACATTAAATGGCTGTATGGAGGAGCCCTAGTTCTGCTTAGTCCGGGACCTCACAAGGGAAAGTCTCTTCTTTAGGAGAAGTCAACCTGGTGCTCTCAGGACTATAAGTCCCATCCGCCCCAGTCAGCCTGGCCAGGGGTCAGGGATAATAAGGGTAAATGAGCGTGCCCTGAAAAGCAAGGCCAGGAGATGAAGGTTTAACAGATTCCTCAAATGTCTGGGTGTTGTTTGAAGTTTGACTGCACTGAGAAGCAGAGTTCTCCTTCGAGAGAAAGCGAGGACAGATCCTCCGGCAGCCTCCGTGCTGCTTTCAGACACTCTTTGCTGTTCCAGCACATTTCTGTGCAATGCTGTTATCTAAAAATGCCCGGCGGCTGAAAACAATTTAATATTCATAACTAACGATCTGTGCATATGGAATATGAATAATGCTAATTGTGTCTGTATAGATTTAGTATAAGAAGCTTTAAGGGAGTGGGTGGGAGAGAGGGAGGGAGGAGGAGCTGTTCTTTCCAAAAAGCTCATGGCATTGAATGGGCCACAATGGGCCTTGAAAGCTACAGGAAAGAGGTGGGTGACTTCTGCACATCCAGGGCCCTGCCAGCCCCCTGACGTGCTTACAGGGGTACCAGAGTGGTTTTGTTTCTGAAGCATTGGCAGCCATCAAATGTGGCTGTGCTGCACGCCGAAAAACTGGTAGCAGAGGATACAGATTCTCTCAATGCTGGGGCTGCTAATCAGGTCACTCCTCCACAGCCACTTTTGGTGCACACAACATATGGTCTGCAGCAAAAGGAAAGCTCATTTGCAAAGGAGGCTGAGCTGTCTTAGGCAAGTCCAAGACTGAACAATTATATCTCCCAGGAACTGCAGATGTGCCTCTTCCAGTTGTTGATCACAGCTGGTTGCAGCTGGTTTGCTGCATCGTCGCAATCGACATCTGACCTCCATTGGACCGGTGTCATCATATGTAGATTTGCTTCCAAAAATCATTAAAAACAGCAAAATGTACAGGTCCATCAGAGTGGGATAGGAGTGGTTCCAAGGAGACAAGACAGATTTAGTCAAATATGAAGCATTTCCAGAAAATGTGTGGTATGTTTTCCCAAGACACTTTCTATAGTGTTTAGAGCCATGTCAATGCACATTTGATGTTGTCATGATATTGTCATTCTTACAGTGTTTCAATTCACTGGGGATCAAATCATATTCTCAAAAAAATGTAAAATACTACAAGAAAAACTTTTGCATGCACCAGGACCCATTTAAAATGGTGAATGCTAATTCACTTGAATAATTGAATAGAAACACCTTATTAATCCTTAGCATGTTTACACAGAAATAAATACCAATAAGTTCAATGAAACTTACTATTTTTCAGCAGATGTACTTAGAATTTCAACTTAAATGTTTATGTACCTTTCAGACTACAAAATATATGGTGCATTACAACCATGAATAAAGAAGCATATACAAAAAAAATAAGGGCTAGAAGGCAAGGAAGTGTAAACAAATGGAAACCCCATGGAAGCAGCATGATTTCTATTTGCTCAATAGATTTCCGTTGGAGGTTCCTTGGTGTGGAACCAAGATAATGGAATTATCAATGGATTCCGCCCCGCCCCACCCATAGGTTTCATGTATCCCTAATAATGTGTGCTGAGAGGGGAGCAAAGTTCACCAATTCAAATTTTCATGCTACAGAAATGTGTGGATGAAAATCTCACAGATCAGACATATTTTCATCGATGATGTTTTGCACACTTGTGCAGATTCAGTTGCTGTAGTCTCTGTGATGAGAAAAAAGAAAGAAAGAAAGAAAGAAAGAAAGAAAGAAAGAAAGAAAGAAGGAAAGAATCAGCAGGTGCCTTTCCTATCTAGGACTTTTTGGCAACAGACACTGGCCAATTCTCACCTGTTTAAAAATAGTAAGTGAGAATGGAAGATGGCATAACAGGATGATGGAAACCAGATTACTCCCCCCCCCAAGAGTGTTTATTAATTTTCCAATAAAAACATCCAATTAACATTCAAATCATAATCTGATAAAAACAACAACTAAAATTTAAAAAATCCAATTGTTTTCCAAATGTGGTTCTTGTTTTACAGCTTCCCATGGCCTGAACTTCAAAGCAACTCTGAATTCCTAGTCCTGCCTCTCACGAAACCAGATTACTCTTATTCAGCCTTTGGAACAGTCCATTTGTCCCAGAAATATGTTGCATGGACAGCTAAGCTCCATACCAATTCCCCACTATGGGCTGTATCCAATGTCATGAGAATGGAAGACAGCTTTTGCAACTTATCTTTCCCTTCCTTTCTTCCCCTTTTAGAGCCTTCTATACCCTACCAAAAGAATAGAGTTGGAAAACCTCTAGCAGATTGTGGGCTTCATCATCTGGGGCTGCAGTGGCGGTGGTGGTGGGAGAGCTGTCAAAACCAGGCAATGGCATCTTATTTTTGTTATCTATTAATAACACCGTGGTGCATCTGCATCTGCACAACCAGACGCCTTCATCTGCTCTAGCTGCAAAGAAACATGTCTCTGCCGCATCAGTCTCTACAGCCACAGCAGGCGCTGCAACCTTCCAACAATTTGACTTCACTCCCAAAGGCGCACTCCTTCATTGTCTCCTGAGACAGACAGATGCCAACTATAATTATTTCTCCAACTATAATTATTTCTAGACCACCTTTCACTGTGTAAAATACCAGGATGGTTTATGAGATAAAACCAGAACAATAAAGCATAAACCAGAATAACCAGACTTTAGTAAAGCCAGTACCTAAGGACCAGTGCCTGGGGATGCCCACATGAAAAGGTAGGGTGTGTTTTGTTTTTTAACCAACCAGCAAAACAGCCGGCATGATATCATATGCACTTCTTGTATATCTATGGATAACCACTCTATGATGTGGGGTTCACTAAAGGCCTTCCTTCCAGTTCCTACAAGAGAAATCTTCTGCTGGACCTGACACAACTAGACAGGTCTCCTCTTATAACCTCTGTGAATATGGGTGGAGGTGCTCCCTCAGTTAGTCTGGTCCTAAGCTGTTCAGGGCCTTATAAGTTAACAACAGCACCTGAAACTTGGCTTAAGCAGCCAGCCAATGCAAGGTTCCCAGTTCCAAGCACCCACCACCCACTGCAGCCTCATAAGCCACAGCCAACAATGGTTAGTAGATCCCTTGAACCTCTGCAGAGACCCCTTGGGAAGGGGCAGGGAAAGATCGGTTGCTTGAGTTGCTTCTGCAACAATGAATGCAACCCAATGAGCCAAAAAACGTGTACGGGAACAGAATCCTGTATCTTTAAAAATGTGACCACAGTCCATTTCCTGCTTTCTTTATTAAGAATTTCTTTCATAACAGGATCAGTTGTGAATGGCTTGAAAATGACATTATCGAGGGAGATAAAGCCCTTAATGCAGGCATAGGCAAACTCCGGCCCTCCAGATGTTTGGGACTACAATTCCCATCATCCCTGACCACTGGTCCTGTTAGCTAGGGATGATGAGAATTGTAGTCCCAAACATCTGTAGGGCCAGAGTTTGCTTATGCCTGCCTTAATGCAATGTGCTGCTCAAAGGAGATGATGATCCTGCCATTTTAAAAGCAGATTTGCAAGTGCATTCTCTTTACAACTCCCCTACCCCCACCCTCCGCTCCGACCAAATCTTTTTTTAATGTTACGTAACTCTGTTTAGCTGCATGGCACACTTTAGCCACTATACACACAAGGCTGCAGTGTTGCCATGTGCCTTTGATTTGGAGCCACTTGAAGAAAGGTCATTGGAAGGTTCCTAATGGAAACACATTTAAGACGAGAATCCCATTAGGCCGTGCTCATAAAAAAACAGAGTGGAGTGGACCCTTAAGCATGTTTTATCACTTGTAAAGATGCAAGTCCAGTGAAGTGTGCAAATGGGAACAGGAATAAATAAATGTTGGTCTATTAGTAGCACTTTCCCTTGCGCTGTTGTGAGATGGACTCCTCTCTGATCATCCTTAATTCCCAGGCATTTTCTGCATTGGTTGATGGAAGCCAAACTCTGAACTAAAAGGGAAGAGGGACTTAAGCACCTGCTTGGCACATAGAAGTAGGTCTCAGAATATAAGAACATTGGAAGTTGCCTTACACTGAGTCAAGCCACTGGTCCATCTAGCTGGGTATTGCTTGCAATGACCGGCATCAGCTCTCCAGGATTTCAGACACTCACAGCCCCACCTAGAGATGCTGGAGGTTGAACCTTGGCTTTCTGTACGCAAAGCAAATGCTCTAGTCCTGAATTGTGGTTCTCTCATAAGAAGAAGAGATATACCACGAAGCAGGAGGCCACTGGCACCTCCAGTTGAAAGGAGCTTGGGGAGTTGCAATGAGTTTGACCAGAAATGTCTCCTGCATTTTTTCTAATCAACCCATCGCCAATTACCAAGGAAACAAACTGCATTTGAAAATTATGAAAGGTGAAAGAAAATGTTGGCGAACTTCTCATGTGTGGGGATGTGCATGCTTTTGGAGGGCATATCTTTTGGAGGAGTCCAAAAGGGTGTTTACAGGCATCCCTCCTTTCATTCTACAGATCATCTTACGGGTGATCTGTAGCCTCCCTATGGGACTTTTCCTATGGG